GGTCTTGGCTGCAACTTTAAGAAAGCCAATGATTGAATTCTTTTTTTTCGCAAATAAACTAAAACAAAGAGAATACTCGAGTAAGGATCAACTCGTTTGTTTCTGTGAAACTCAGTGGAAGTTTCTCAAAAACTTATAAAGGACTAATTTTCCCTTGTGATGATGTTCGAAGACCAGCAAAACCGATGGTCAGTGCTTAAACAATTTGCGAGGACGGGAACATGGAACTACGAATACGGTGATTTAAGGCCCAGAATTAAAACTAGAAAGCGCTGACCTGACAGGAATTGTTGATTTTTCGCAGTTCGACGCTTAAAAGATGCTAGGAGGTGTAGCGTGAGTCGCAGGTCAGTCATTCCCACAGAGAATGAAGATGGTTCTGGGCACTTAACCGTGCTTCAGACAGGAATCAAAATAAAATTTGACGAATACTCATTTGTACATAATTTTGAAAAATGTCTGAGCTCAAACCGTGCAAGTCGGTTTGCGACATTTATAACTAGGCCTTTGATTAAACTTCTTTAAACAAAGTAAAATAAGTTTTGTCTTTTTAAGTTGCCAGGAAGCGATCATAGCTAAGAGAGCGGGAAGAGGAATAGGGCAAAGTAGAGTAGTTTCATGGGCTTAAATGGTCGTCGAAGTGGTCAAACTTATATCGATGAGAGCAAGATTAAAACTTTGAACCATTCGAAACAAGGTAATGACCGTCGACCGTGTAGCTCAGGGGTATGGTTTGAAGTCCCGACCGGAATGTTCGCGGTTCGATGCCAGACAGGGACACAAAAAGTACGCACTGCTGACGAGTCCCAAGTAGAACGAAACAGCTGTCTAGTGCTCTTTTTTGGTTATCACAAACATTTCTGTCGCATGTACGTACATGAAATTGTGCGGAATTAACGATCTCCCAAGGAGTGAAACCCACACCCAAGAACACCAAGAGTGCCTGGTGCCTCTGAACGATCCAATGGGCTAGTCCAACTTGTTTGTGAAACATTCAGTTTCTCAACTACCAATCCCGTTCTACTCTGTTCAAGTTTTCATTGTTCTTAACATAATAAAAAACTCTTTTTGCAATCTGTTGGCGTTTATTTCATCGTGTTCTCTGTGATAAGAACAGTTAATACGGTCACAAGTCAAATTAGTGAAACTGCAATAAAATTTATCAGCATAATTTAAGTTAAGGCTTCCTTTACGCAGTTGATGAATAATATTATACACGGGAGAACACTTGCTTTTAAGTTACAGTTAGGTAAGTTATGTGAAACTCAAAACCTGCCAGAAATATTGCTACAATATCCAACCCTGTTAAGAGACCTACAGCAGTTGACCAAAGTGCCGATTGCATATTTTCTTCTTTAGATATTATCCCGCACCGTGCTTGGATCGTATGATGATGAGAAGCGAGATAGCGCTCACTGATCTGCGTACACTACTCCCTAAATGACATTTTATCTTTATGCATCTGTCGTATTTTATATGCTTGTGTCACAGTTGGTGAATGACCGTTATTATCATTACTGAAATATGAACAGTACTGCTGGAGCTTCATAGTCAAAATAAAACAAAACGGTTTATCGCTATTCGCTTCAAATACTTTACAAAGTCCTACGAGATACAGCTCCCTACCTCACTGATAGAAATGTGGGTCCCTATCCACTTCGTGGAATTAGGCTGTTTTTTAACCTGTGAACACATGCGCCCCCAAAGATGAACGCATTCAGTTTTCCGTTGTTAAATCATTTCCTGTATGCTCACCATCGTTTACTGTCCACCGGAGTTCTTTGCGACAAGCAGTTCGAGTGCATGTGTGGACACAACTACGAGCCTACTCATCAAATGTCAATTGATGTCCCCTTCCTGGTATTGGGAAGCAACAAACGTGTTTTCCGGTAGATTGTGTACTTTAGTCAAGGATAAACAGCATTAAGTCCGTTAAATTTTTATTTTGCTTATAAATATATTGGACCTCATGTTTTTATAATTAAATTTTAAATGACAGTTTTGTAAACAACAGTGTTGATTGTTGTTTTTAATAAATAACTGAAGTGTAAGCTTCAGTGCTTGCAAAAGTTGGACACGACATTCTAATATAAGTATGTGGTAATGAGATAATTCCTATGCATAATCAATAAATAATCTATATTAAGCATATATGACTTGTCCAATGGTGATCACCAAGCCAAAATCGCGCGCAGTAAACAAACGTAACGACATTTCCCTTGAGTGTAATTGCTTCTCGCTCGATTTACTTTGTGATCCATAATCTTTTAGGTGATATATATGTGTATATACATTTCTCTTCTGGAGTACAGAGGATTACGTCCCGTACGAGTTTCGCCACCACTCCCTCTCAGGTATTCGCGAATTGCCACTATCTCTCCAAGTTCTCCTCTGGATATCGTTTGAATTACTTCTCGCTCTTATTTTCTCTCTCCTTCGATGAGAGTAATTAAGTGCAGTTACATTCCCAGAGGGAAGATGCATCGCAATCGTGACCAAAAGATCACTAAACTACCGAGCTACTACACCTAATGTGCTTCTTAAAACGGAGAATAGTTTCAATATATGCACTTGTATCTTTATTGTAGTGGATACCATCATTCTGAGATCCCGTTGAGCTACCGTAGATCCTAGTTTCAGGAGATCCCACAAACTGCCATTCGGGCCCCTCTTTACATACTTCACATGGCTCACAGGGAGTTCCACAAAGGTGACCCATGAAAGCAGCCTGTCCACTTCCTCCTGGATGGTGTGGTCGTCATCTGGACTTCTCGTAACTAACTAGAGGTTTAGGTCATCCTCGTAGAACAGACAGGGTTACTGAAATCGTGAAGGCAGGCTATTCACCTTAGCCCTATGGCACTCAACTGGCAATCAGGTAGATACGAGATTGTGACTAGGCAACTATTACGGAGAAACTCCCAAGACGAGGAAATCCTCACCAAGGGTGAGTATATGATCTCCAACTCCAAGGTCTGTTAGTTTCTCCGGCAGACATCCGTGTGGTGCTTTGCTGAAGTGGACAAACACGTTTGTATTATGGTCACAGGCCTTGGAAGGTGCCCATCGTCGACGAACAAGTCGCAGGTTTGACACAGTATTGCTTCTGTCAGAATACATGTTGGTCCAAAAATAATGATCCGTTGGACAAAAAGTGTCCCCTTAACCTTATGGCCACAATTCATCATATTATTTTGCTGGTAAAACAGATGAGATTGACGGAACGATAGTTGGCTTCCTCTAAAGAGAAGACGCAAAACCGCAGATTCACACCCAAAGGATACCCTCTCCATATCCTATCATTAACTAAACAGTGCGGTCAGTGTCACAGCGACGACTCATGTCAGCTCCTTAAGGATAGTAGGGTCCACCAAATAAAGACCTGGCACTTGAAATAGCTTCAACACCTTGTTGGTTACCAACACTTCATCTGCTGTGATGTTTACCTTTGGTCAAGGTAATTGAGACCTCGGGGAGGGCTCGTTTGCAGACTGAAACGTACAGATCAGATGAGGTTTCCGCCTAATCGCTACTGGTTTCCACCAATGGAGCTCCAACAGAGGGATATCAGCTTTAGCTGCCGTCCGTTGCCGGAAATAAACAATTTTTGTTACATACTGACCTATTTGGCAACCAAAATCTCATAACTTCACGCGACAGATCGTTTTTGTAAACATATGTTTCTTATCACCTTGTGCTATTTGTATCTTACATCCTACTGACAGAATGCTCTCAGGTTGCAGCGTCCTAACGTGTGGGCGATAGGGGATAAAAATATGAAGGCTCCATGTCATGCAGACTGTGGCGTCTTAGCGCTGCAAACGGTATCAGTAATCCCAGTATTCCATCACGAGTAGTCAACCAGACGAGGTTCATTTCTTGTGGGTACCGATATACCAAAGTTTGTATGTATTTCACACTCGTCTGGCTCTATACATGGTGCCTAATGAATCGTGGTGCAACAAAAAGAATACATTCCATGGTTTGCTTGTGGGCGCGCTTTTCCTAGTTTGCCTAGACTAAAGCAGATAAACTTTCTTGGGGAATTAACAAACGGAGCCTTCGGTTGACCAACGCTTTACCCGCAAGTCAGTAGATTGGTGTGTAAAAAACCGCAATTCATAATGATCGTTGTGTAGTTCGTAGAATCCAACACCCTGTGGACGGAGTCAAGCGCCCAAGGTGCCCAATGTTCAATCCAGCTGGTGACCACTTCCAAAACCGGAAGGATGCAGATATGTGGATCGCACATGTCTTCTTGGTTGATTTGGAATTAGCGCTTTTAGCCAGCTCCTGTTTGAAATGTCAGTGGTTCACCAACCTAGTTATAACCTCGGGCGATAGTTTTTCGTCCTCTCACTCTAACGGGAAAACATCTTCACGGAAGGCAGTGAGAGGGGCTTCCTCAGAAGAGGCAGAGTTGCCAAACGAAGATATTCAGCTTTACCTCCGTTTAAATCCTCAATATTCGATCATTTGGGTAACTAGAAGATAAAAAAACGAAACTGGTTCAAGGAAGTGGTACCTCAGTGGTTTTGTAAGCCGAAGCTAAAACTTGGCGCACTAACCTTCGGAAATTCATCGCTCTTCGTGATCGTTTCCTAGTCTGTTGATGAACTGTTGTTTAAGGGATCGCACGAAGCGATATATATAGAGTTCAAAGGAAAGGTTTTAGGAGCATTGAGAAAAGAAAACAGCACGAATAATTACACCATTTTTAGTTTTCTTTTTTATATAGAGATTAATGAATTACGGTGAACTGAGAGTTAGCAGCTCAATACTACTTTGATTTCCTCAAAAATACAATCAGGTATTGCTGATTTTGTGCATGCTGCCCTATTTCATTTTTTGGATATGTTGCTTTTTCGTCAACAGTTTCTGAAAATGAAGAAATCACATCGGAACTTACCACGGGAAAGATAATATGTGGTGGAATAGGCAGAGCTTTGCGAAACAGACGGTTTTCAGCTACTACATCGAGAAGCTCTATGGTTTCTCAGGAGAGCCTCAATGCCTGTGAGCTTCAGGGCGTAGAACGTACAGGCCATTCCCTCATCAGTGTGCATGATGCATCGCGGAAGAAACCGATCTCACCTGGTAATGGAAAAGAATTGCCAAAAGAACGTCGTACTAAAAGGTTGGTCAGGGAACTCTCACGAACGACAGATGAAGCAAAGTCAAATGAAAAGAAGCCTGTAGATATCAAGACGACTGATTTGATCTTGCAAGAGGAGGAGCAACTCCGTATCGAATGTGATGCTGTATTGAAGGAGTTGGCCGATTGGCGGAAGTGCTATTCGGAGTAAGGTTTATAATGTGACGGGTTATTAAAATTTGATTGTATGTTTTAATAGAACATGTAGCACAATGTGAAGGAAATTAACATTACCAATTTGAAATGCTCTCAATCACCTCTATGCATATCAGATATTGCCTTACTCGGACACCGCTGTCTACGTCAAATTGTACGGGTCTGTTGGGGAAACCGGACGAGCAATGCTGAGATTAGGCGTACAGTTTTAGGTAATCGCGGTCGTCCACTGGAACAGGTAGTCGACCTCCATAGATTACGTTGGTTGGGACATTTGATGCGCATGTCACCAGATAGATTGCCA